TGCCATCCGTGGAAAGTAAAGCAGAGAGTTTTTTTTTTGTTTTTTTTTTTTTGTTTTGCCTTGAGCCATCATGATAGAACTGACCGGCCCCAGGTATTTCAGAATGATTTAGGATTTAGGTCATCTGATTGTATCTGGACTCAAACTTGGGTCTGTATTTGCATGCACAGTTCATGGGCACCGATTGAGATAGGCTCGTCAGTAGAGCCGAACGTTTTTCACTCGTACATTTGTGAGTTCTTTGCAAGGTGGTGTCATTTCATTCGTGAGTTCTCTGCAGGGTGGGTTTCACTGCGAAGATATCTTGAGAAATGATGGGGCCATAGTTTATAATTTGCATTCGTATTGACATGTAGCCAGTTACTGACAGATTAAAGGCTACAAAACGGGATCCTTGAATCTGGAAAGCAAAAAACTAGCCCTGACAGAATGCACACCCAAACGTGCATTCTGACAGGGTACGAGTTGTTACGACATAATACTAGCCCTTCACCGGGATTGGAATAATAGATGGCAACAAACAACCCCTGTATCACAATCTGCCCCTGGTATGAGATCCTGAATAGGACAGGCCCTGCCGGTGCAATGTCTGTGCTCACAAAGCATAAATCTGGTCACAAATTTGGCTATGTCCACCCTGACTTTGCAGCAGCATTGCACCATTAAGCCACCAGAACATTTCCCAACCATTTTTCCAGCGGCGTGCATGCTGCCACATCGAGCGGGAAGTGCCAGGGCGCCGTTTCACAGCACATCCATCCAGGCAAAACAGGTCGCATGCAAGGCCTGTTTTGAACGAATGGATGTCCAGTGAAATGGCGCTCCCGTACTTCCCACCCAATGCACACCGCGTCATCAAAAAAAAGGCTGGGAAATGTACTGGTGGTTTGAAATAGTGAATTTGTCAGTTTTATGATTTTCTTTTTCAACCATCGGCAGGGGGCTCAGCCTTTCGGAAACACCCCAACAGTTTAACACAGCGCCACGGAAAGGCTCAGAATGCCCGTTGGGAACAGACTAGCGGCTCCATGCAAAACGTGTGAGGCTCAGAATGCCCGTTGGGAACAGGCTAGCGGCTCCCGTGACAGTTACCGTTTCTTATTGTCGGGCAAAAAAAAGTTTAAAAGAAAACGAGGCTCGGCTTTGGTGCATTGAGCCTCCAGTGGACTTGAGCCTCCTTTCCCGAACATGGATTTTTGCCTGGTCCTAAGAAATCCAAGCCATCATTGTGAATGATTCACCCTAGTTTGCCAGCCTCTTTCCAATGCGGACACCAAGCCTTTACGCGGTCCCGTGTCAGCTGGACGGGGTTTCCCCAATGGCTGGGCCATCCACTGGCTGTTTACGTGCAGGAAAAATCGAGTATGGCGTTATCCCACATGTTTCCCTGCTCTGCTTTGCTCTCCTCTGAAAGCAACTGGCAGATGGTTGCACAGCAGGAAGGTACCTTCTTACCTCCCCCCAGTTCATTTTCGGAAAGAAGGGGAAACCTTCTTCACAAAAAAAGGGCATGCTCGATTTTCTGCAATCAAAGTTGTCTCAAATTTAATGATGTCGCTGTGTTCAGTCGAACTCCAGTGGTGCCTACCCATAAGCCAAGGGTAGGATCTTATACGCAGCAGCCGTGTCAGCAGACCGAGTTCGACTTCAACTTGACCTCTCAAACTGCAGCCCTCACTCTCCTACATGCTTTGCAAAGCTACTGGTCTAGCACCAATACATAGATATATGTCCAGCATTACCACTTGTCATTCACTCTTCTCCTGNAAGCTACTGGTCTAGCACCAATACATAGATATATGTCCAGCATTACCACTTGTCATTCACTCTTCTCCTGGGGGGAGCATCCACCACCGTTGTTTCCTGTAGAGAAGTCGCTAATCTCGTGTGGGGTTCTGCACACTCGCCAACTTTTTTTTTTAGGATTGTATCCCCTGCTTCGTGTAGTGTCTTACCAACTTCATGCAGTGTGTCGTTTGCACGGGCATCTCGCCAATTTCCAAAATTGGGAAGGGGGGAGGGGGGAGGAAGGGGTGCACACCAACATGTAAGGATCCTTGGCATAGTCAGAGCACTCACCAGACCTCAACTTCATTTAATCATATCCTTCCTTTGTTTTTATTTCTTAAATCCTCTTTTGTTTGGCAGAGTGCAAGTGTTCTGGTGAGCATTGTGTCCTCTTAGAAGTCCAGAGATTTTGCCTATCCAATAGTATATCCTGGGTCGATGTCCCACTAGCAAAGCGGATTGGATTGGAGGCTAAGAGGCTTGAATCTAGACACGTTTGTGGAAGGTGCGGAAAATCGTTATTGATCTGCTTTCTGCATCTCTGCTAGAACCCGTCCAGATTCAGTCGCTTGATCCAATCCTCTTCGAAATCAGGACCTTGCTCCTGGGCTAGTAAATGAGTTACCAGATCCGTAAATGCTTGCCTCAAATTCATAACGTGTGTTCTTTTTTTGCCTGATTTCAACAAGTTGTTAGTTGGTTCGAGCTACTGAATATTAGTGTGAATAAGCATACAGAACAGAATTTCAATTTCCAAACAAAATACAGTAAAGACGAAGTACCCAGTGGTGTTTGCACAACATGGCGAGGAGAGCAGTGTTTATACAAATTTATTTTATTCTAAGGGATGCTGGACCCAGTTTCGACCATTTCACACTCATCATGCATAGATCGGAGCCATCCGCCAACAGGTCTCATCACCAGGGGCGAGGTCCCATTAGCAGTCGGATAGGAGTGTGGCTGATCCAGTGTGGCACTGAGTGGCAGCGGGCTGACAGGTTCATTACAATTTTTTGGGCTGAGAAAACAGGAGAGAGGCAAAAGAACAAAAAAGAAACAGAGACCTCCCACCGGAAATCACGGCAGAGTGCTTCCCAGCCATAGATCACAAATAATCTCATGGTGGTGGTTGCATCAACAGTGAACAAAGTAACAGCCACATTTTCTGGAATAAACTCGACTTCTGTCGGCAGTGATCCTGACACCCTCCATATACTCCGTGATTGAAGGAGGGCTCCACCCAATGAGATAATTGCACAACAGCAAGTAAAATACTGAAAATCTTCTATCCAGTGGGCCTATGGCCGACCCCACCCTCTTTTGGGGTTTGCCACACCCCCAACCGATTGAAAAAATTATGGCGGGAAGCTTTCTTTGCATGGGCATGCCCGGTGTAAGGAGGGGAACAAAGATCTCCTTACTCTTTCGGGTAATACAGGTGAAGTACTGATCGTGGGATCATGACTACTGCACGGCAGGATTTGGGTCACTCAACTGCTCCACAAACTCGTTTCTATCCTATCCCGTTACTAGTGGGACCTCACCCCAGGATACTCGTATCATCTCGCTGGCGAGTTCCTAGTGTGGGCATCAGACCAGAGATGAAAAGATAGCCAACAGGGTCTGGGTGGCAACATTGAGCAGAGACACTCATTTGGTTGAGGGCAATCGCTTGCGAGCAGCCGTACTTTTTTGTGGTTTCCTCCCGATAACCTACTTGTCCCAATGTATGACATTCACTTAGAAATCTAAGCCAAGGACTCGAGTACTTCGTACCTTCCACGCTGTTCCAGCACATCATGAGATTACGAGGCTCAATTTCGAACCTCAGGATGCTTTTTGGACCCTATCTTTAGTTGATTTGATTATATACGTTTTGTGAAAGTCATGTATTTTGAAACACCTAAAAGTTCTAAAACATGGATTTATGGATTTTCTATAAATCAATGGATCATGAAAATTCTTTATTGCTTGCTATTACTCTCTTTTCTATAACTTCTTTTTTCTTATATCCTTCTCCTTTATTTGGTGTCGAAGGGGACGGAACATAGAGGCGGTCTGCTATGCTCTATCAATCTCCTAGCACTACAGAAGCATAGGGTGCATGCTGGCTATGGAAAGCAGTCTGCTGGTAGGGTAGATTGTTTTTGATTGACGAATTTGAGGGCATTTCAGTGGTTTTGAACAGAGCTTGTAAATTTTCTTTGTTTTTGATTGAGGGCAGTTCAGTGGTTTTGAACAGAGCTTTTGAAGTCTTGATGCATACTAGGTGCAAACTATGTGCTGGATGTGTGTGTGTGGACAGCCATCACACGATTCTTTTCTTGTTCGTTTTTTCCTTCTTTTTGAAGGGCTGGAAAATGTTCTGAAAAGGCCTTGACATCAACATGCTCCATTACACGGTCTATCAATCATACTAAGGAAGCCCCGTGGAATGCCTATGGGACAGAGATGAGGTCAACGCCACATACAGGACGGGAAGGGCCACAACCAACGGCTGCTGAAGGATTTTGTGGTGGGCGACTACTAGCAGGACAAGAAGGGCTGCAGCCAAAGGTTCCAGAACGACTTCAATTTGAGATCACCGGCCCACCCTCCGCTAAACGGGACTCGCCAGATTGGTGGGATCACAAATCGTAGGCAACTACAAGCACAAACTTCTTGTGATTTACTTTTCGGAATCTGGAGGCATGCCATCTCTACGTGAATACTGCCACGCGATTGGACGTCAGATTGCACGACGCCGACGTATTTATAGGGCCAGGCCTTACTGGCGCTACGTCTATGCCAACGAAGCATTATGAACCTTGCACGTTTCCAGACCAGGGTCATAATTCTTCCCAAACGCAAAACATAGCATGTCACCAATGAGAAAAGGGGCATCCGTCCTAAGTGCAAACGTAGCACTGTTCCCCAAGCTATGATGCATTCCATCCCTCCCTTTCGCCCTCCCTTCTCACCTATCTTAGCCTGTCATGTGGTAAGCGCCAGCTCACATACACAATCTTTAACATGGAAATCTGAATGAGAGAAGGAAAAAAAGAAAGAGAACCTGCACTGCCACGTAGGTAGCAATAAATTGTTCATAACAGGCAACTACACAGGGATAAGGTTCCAATGTAACTCGCACGGTACTGGATGTGGAGAAATTCTGAGGCAGAAATAAATATGGCAAATAAAGGCAGATAAAGAACATCGTATGACATTCAAACCTTAGGTGGCTGGATTGCAATCTTCTTCGGGAAAACGAGTTTAGCCAATTTGTCAAAATCTTCACAAGCTTCCTCCTTCTGTGTTCCAGAGGCACCTTCCACGTCCTGCAGCTGCTGCCCCAAATCGCAATACCCAAGTTCAACGAATAAATGATCACCACATTTAGAGACTGCATGCAGAGATGACATTCTGGGATCCACATCGTGTCAGACGTAAAATCTTCATAGGCACCTTTATATCGCACATAGATGTGCAGCTTTATAACAAGTTTATATAGAGAAGCCAAAAATAAATAAAATAAAATAAAGGGTGGGCCATGCCCAGGACGTGAAAAAATGTTGAAAATTTGATTGAATTTCTTTATCCTCTCATCAAACATTCTCACTGGCCATGCATCACAGCCAAAAACTACTGATTTTTCCTGCATCTTCAGTACATAGCTCTCTGTGCCCTGAAATTTGCACTACATACAACTGTACTGGCCCGTGAGAAAACAACACACAGAAGCGGACCACGTTCATTGAACTGATTTCCTTTTATTGCAAGTCTAAGAGAGTAACAAATTCATCAGCACAGAGTGCCCCCATCAAAGTCGCCCTGCACTGCACCCATGGGCATTTTTTGATTTGAACATTACATAGGCGGCACTTCCGCATCTGGGAGAAAAGGTGAGAAGAGCATTCTGGCCATTCATTAGACCGTCTGATAAAAAACATAATACAAAGACACTGAAATACAGGTTTGAAGTTTGAACACCACCTCCATTCTGTAACCCCCTCACCGTAAACGAATCGGGCAACCCCTGGTCATGTGCAACAGCGGACAGGAGGTAGCTCTCATGGGTTGATGGAGTGTGGAAAATTCAACACCTCTGGTTCAGCAACAAGACGCGGCTAACCGGACACGAATTGGGGAATGCGTTGAAGAGGTGTCACTCCGTAGCAGAAAATCTAATACACATTCACGACAGCATTTCCCCAGCCTGGATCAGAGATGAGCAAGGGGTACCCTGACCCGCACCCACCCGCACCCACCCGCACCCACAACGCGTTGGGTAAGATGTGGGTATGGATAAGCTGGCCTGGGTGGGAGGAGAATGGGTCTAAGTTAGCTGGTCTGGATGGGTGACGGGCGGGTCAATGTTAGGCCCCGGGTCACCCAAATGGGTGGGTGGCAGGTGGGCGAATGTCTGGCCCGGGTCACTCGACCCACTGATCCAGGATGATCCACAAGGACCCCCCCCCCCCCACCACAACCTATGAGCGTAGGGAAAAAAGACGCCAAACGTTGGAAGTCGAACATAAATGCTCCAGGCCTTTCCCCCCAAAAAATTGCGGTGCAGCCGTCAGTGACATATTCAGAATTTCAGACCCACCTTCGAAAATGTCTCGCTGTGCCACTGCCGGCTGGACTGTTGGGAGATTTTTCTCGTGATAAAAGAACATGGAGCAGACCTACCCACATGAGGTGGCAAGGCTCGCTCCTCGATTTGAATCTGGGGAATTGAGCTTGTTTTTTCCGTGACGTCACCTGAGCTTGTTTCTTCGCGCGGTCACCTCATCGATTTGTTTCATTTTGTGATGTCACGGCACAATGTCACATTGTGTGTGAATGTTGGGTTGGGAATGGGCGGGTACAGGTAAAAAACAATTGGTCCCGAGTGACATGTATGTTGAAATAGGTCATTATTTTGTATTAGCCTACAAAAAAAATAATTTATCTTTTTTTGCTTCACTGGCGGGTAATGATTTCCTTGTGGGTGCGTGTGACAAGGCTGAGGCAGAGCAGCGAGGCTGGGAGAGAGAGGGAGAGTGAGAGAGCACACACACACTCACTCAACTCGACGCAGACTCGACACGACTCGACGGACGCAGACGCAAAGTGGCGAAGTCGCAAAGTTGCAATCTTGGATTCTGAACACATTGTCGCAGCACGTCGCACTGAAGCACAAGCACTCAGGCCAAAAAATGAATGCCCGAACTCAGCTAGAGTCCGGTCTCAAGTACCGGACTCGAGTTCAGTCCTGAGGGCAGAAGTGCAATTTGCCTCAGGGCTGAGCTGAGAATCGAAGGTCTGAGTCTGGGCGCCAGAATGCCGGATGGCGCCAAGTATCGAAATCCGAAAGTGCCAAGGGTGGAATTTGAGAACCGGCGCCAGCTGCCGAGGGCGCCAACTGTCAGGAACCGGAGATCAGAAACTCAAAAAAAACAAAAAAATAGCAGCCTGGCCGATGGTAACCCGCATACCAGGGATCGAGCCCTGGCTGAGTCCGTAACAGTGCGGGTGAGTTCAGGTGAAGGTTTGTTACGTGTGGGGCGGGCGGGTCAGGTGTGGGGGCAAAATTTTGAAAAAAAACTTGGGTGGACTGGATCCCCTTAGACCTTTTTTTTCCAAACGAGGGCAGGTGGTACCAGGAATACTTCGGGCGAGTTGGGTGAAGTGGCAAATCCAAAAAAAAAAAAATGCTAATCTCTGGCCTGGATAGAACTCCTTAAAGAATACTTCTCCTGGAAATCAGGAGACTTCTCCTAGTCAAGACACAGATTCCTCCACACAGCTTTAAGGTTTGTCAACAGGCTAACAGCCGGTACTCAGAGGGCTTGCGGCAGCAAGAATCAACAGCCAGAAATCCGGAGAACCAATCCGGAGACTGCAATCTTGGACGTGTTTTTGCTGCAGAAGCAGCAAGTCTCCAAGGACGAACCCTGAGTGATCTTTTGCCCAGACCAAGATATCTCTGAGCTCAAGGTTCACCCCAGCGAATGGGGTTGGGGACAAACCTTGGCCAGAGCAAACGTGCCCGCCCCTACATGAATACACGGCTAAATTCGGGTACGCTTAGGTCTCAAGACTGCAGATCCAACACCTGAAATAAGCACAAGGTGGAAGCGCATCCTGAACTCCAACAACGAAATACAGATCAATACCTTGCCCTAAGACCGGTCAAAGTCTGCAGTCTGCAACTATGCCACACTGCCAGTGAACCAACGACTTCATCCGCAAAGAAAACACTCTTGAACCCAGTAACTCAGAGAAACACGAAATGTGCACTACTAACACAACGGAAGACATCATCCGCTACTTTCATGCCCAGAGTCGATATGGTTTCGGGAGTGAATCAAGAAGCTACGGTGCTGCCTCTTCTCCTCCTCCCCCCCCCTACAAAACCCCTTGACACCATCCTCATGTCCATCAACATCCCCACTTCCCTGCGAAGCGGCACAAAGAATTGGTTCCTGCTTCTCACAGAACTCGACGGAAGTCACGCTCTGGACCCTTTGGAAATGAAGATGCACACTCACCATTGGCGGGGAACTCATAGCGAAAGAGGAATCCTGCGCCCAGCTGAAGGCCAGGTGGAGACGTAAATCCGCTGGAGATGCCTCTTGGTCAAACAAGCGGCCAAAAAGAGAGCGGCTGGCTCCTACAACGCAAGATAGCTACTACCGAAAGAGAGCACACTCAGGTGAAAAAGTGAGATCGAAGCTGAACAAGAGCCCTCCCATTCTTACTGCCGAGAGTTCCAAAGGATGACATTCAGGCTAATAAGCGGTCACAACTAGAGCCCCGCCACTCCCTTCTATGAAGGGCTGGTTTTCCCGTCAGCTACCTCTCCTCAACGTTCTTGGTTTACTCACCTTTGTGACAGACGCAGCTCACGTGCATTTGAGACTAACGCGTGAAGAGAGAGGCTAGCTGGCAGTCAATCCTCTCTCCAGGAGCAAGGGTACGCTGAGTGGGACTTGTAAAATTACTGTTCTGCCGAAAAAGTCTCATGGACAATACTTGCTGGTGGAAAGGAAGCAGACTGATATTCCCCAAAAGATTCTGCCGGACAGCTCAGATCTGGTGATTAACCTGTTCGGGACAGTGGCTACGGAGTCATCCACATGTCAACTCCTTTCACATGCTGGTGCTCCAATGGCTAAGGGAGTACATCGAGAAGGCAAAAAAATGACAGAGAGCATGCTTTTGACATCAGAGAAGCATGCCTGAAGCACATTGAGAGTCTAAAAAAAACAGAAAGAATGGCATAAGGGCATCGATCGCTGACATTGAGAAATCGGCCAGCCAGTATGACATTCTGAAAAGGGAAAAGGTCGACGAAGTAAAAGCGGAGGAATTTTCTGAATACACAGCTTTCAGGTATGCGAAAAAACAGAGAGCAAGAGGAGCAAGGGCTGACCGACAAGGACAAGACTGTCGTCAACACCAATGACTCGTTCCAAAATCTGCGTCCAAAGAAATGGAAACATCAAAAGATCAGAATAAGAGGGAACCTTCCCCATACTCAAAATCCGGTCAAGAAGAGTTCGAAGAAGAATCGTCATGCTCAACGCTTGAGAAAGAAATCGCCATGATGGTAGCTCGAACAAAAAAGCTGGTAAAACTGAACGCTGAGTACACTCTAGAATTCACATCCCTCCAGCACATCGCTGATGGCAAGGCACCCCATGTGGTGGCCTCAGCCAAATCATCACGACTGACCCTAATGGGCACTCGCCCACTAATTGCAGCTAGGTACATTGAAAAGGAAGTTGACTGGCAGGTGGCTACGGATGTGTCCTTCACGATTCCCAGGATTGCTGAAGGCCAGAACGTAGCCAAGGTTCTTCAAGAGAAGGTAACAAACGACTTTCCACAGGGTATGTACGAAACAACTGTCTCCTACACCCTATCGGAAGCCAATTCCTCACAAGCTGATCACGGGAAACAACAAGACCACCAAATGGAGGAAGATCAGCATACCCCTGATGCATTCCCCCCCGTGATTGCCAAAACGCCCTTCAGTACCAAGCTCAAGAGCGGGATGATGTGGAGACCATGGAGGCCAATCTCAACAGTACCATACAGGATGATACAGCGTACTAGCAGGCCTGAGCATTCCAGCCGAACTGCTGGCGGCCCAACTCCTAGACAGCTCACCCTCATTATCCCGGCCCCACTAACCTCCTAACGCCCCAATGACAAAATCTTTAGAACATGACGAATGCAAGAGAGGATTGTGTGAACCGAAAAACCCAATGAATAGTCATTAGAAGCTGGAATATTAATCGGATAGGCAATAGATTAGACAAAGAAGAGAAAATGAAGAGAAAATGAACGACAA